GACTAGTATAGCACGACGTTTGAGACGTCAAAATGATATGACATTTGTCACCCGTAGACCTGCAGGTCCCACTGTAGCTAGCAGCAAGGTGTAGGATGGTTAGTCCCGTATAGATCTATACACAAATTCGCGCTCTCCTTCCAGGAGACTCTAGGTACAAAACGTGACACAGCAGTATATTGCCGAGCCATGAAGTAGTATCTCACATTATTGTTATAGTATTCTTGTATTTGTATAGTATGTTGTAGTGTAGTGTATGTTCTCTCTGTGTAGTGTGTAGTATGCTATATCTGTTTCTCTTTATAGTGAGTATTGTTTCTCGTTATAGTATGTACTGTTTCTCGTTATAGTATGTTTGAACTGACTCATGTATAAACTGACTCTTGTATGTTTCATTGTTCTAGAAGTAGTAGTAGTGACTTCCTAAACTATACCTATTATAGTTTACTAGAAATGTTGTTTGTATGAATGAACATGTTTGTACACCTTTGCTACCCAAAGGTATTGAACTGAAGAACTTTTATATCTATATACATACACATAATATATAACTAAGATTCAAACGACCTTCGGACAAACAACCGATACCCTAAGTTCACAACCAAACAAGGAACATGAAATAAGGCGAGTTATCAGTCCTAAGTCCTTTCAATCCTACTTATATAACTATATCTATATATACATGTTTTGACAAAATATAAGTCTAAAAGAGTTTGATAAAGAGTTTTGCATATAAAAGAGTTTGTAAAACAGTTTGAAGCAATTTGTTTGAAAACACAGTTTGAAGTATAAGAAATCTGTCTGTTTGATAGTTATTAATCACATGTGATTGATATAATAACTATAACGTTTCTACTTGTATTCCCCCCCATAAAAGCATTTAAAATCATTTAAAAGGTAAGTTAAGGGGTATGAACTCACCTGCAGTGAGTTATACGAATGTAAGATCGGTTGTAGGATGCTAAGTGTCAAGTGAAAACTCGAGCACAACGGGATCCTAATAAGCATATAATGACACACATATATGTATATAATTAGTGTTTATACAACTAATAATGTAAGGAAAACACCTTAGGACTTAGGAAACACTTAGATTGAAGTGTTACAAGTACAAAGGATTGCATAAAATGGGTGTACGGCCACCCAAGTGTGTGTACGGCCAAGTGGTGTACGGCCACTTGTGTGTACGGCCAGGTGTGTACGGCCATGGAATGTACGGCCGTACACTCCTTGAAGAATTTTCCAAAAAGTGTGGTCCAAGGCTCTATCTTGCATCCTCTAAGTGTTCTTTATCTTGTGTTGAAATATAACATGAGTTTTAGGCCAAATATGCACTAAACAAGGGGTGTACGACCATATGAAGGGTGTACGACCGCACACTCTTTGTGTTCATGCATTATATGATGTTTTATGGCTAGAAAAAGAGTGATTCACAAGCCTAACTAGAAGATGGAAGAGATACTTACGAAATTTGAAGCCTTTAGGGGTGTTTAAGGTCCAAGAACTAGTGTGTGTTCTTGGTGTTCTTGGTGAAAATGAAGAACACTTGAAGATCTAACCAAAAGAAGTAATTGCATGGATGAAATCATGGATCTTCAATTGATAGTGTAATGAATCAACTAATCAAAGGAAGTAACACTTACATATTAAAGATCTAGGTGAAAACCCTGATGATAGTTGAGAGAGAATCGATTTCTTGGCTTGAAGGAGTGAAAAGTGATTAAGAATGGCTAAGTCCCACATATATATGTGAGAGTGTACGGCCAGGAGGGGGTGTACGGCCGTACACCCACGTGTACGACCGTACACTCCTCATGAAGGAGTGTTTGGCCCTTTTGAAAAGTGATGAACTTAGGGAACCCATTTCAAAACCCTAACTTTGAAGGTACTAGGCTTAGAACACTCAAACACACTCTAAACCATGCTAAAAGATAGCAGAAACGAGTCTATCTTTGATTGAATTGAACGGTTGTACAAGATAGAAATTTCGGGTTGTCACACTTAATGACCTCAACAAAGACCAAATATGAGGCTCAAAGGTCCTAGAGTAACTTCTACTCACAATAACCACAACTATGGAACCTAAACATGATAAATCATAACCCAAACTAGATCTACATGAGAAATCCCTCAAGTTTAAGACTTTATACCTCCAGAAGCTAGATCAAGATGAACAAGGCCTAGATCTCCAAGCTCTAAGACAACCCACACTTCTCCAAGGAGTTCTTCTTCTTCTAAATGCACTAAAAATCCACCAAAATCACTCCAATGCTCAAAATCCTTCCAAATGGGGCTACGTTTTTGAATTTAGGGTTCGAGGGGATGGAGGCTGAAGATAAGAAGGGTTGGAAATGAGTTAAGGTGTTTAAATAGGTCCAGGGCACTAAACTAGGGTTTGGGTCTGAGTCGCGAACGCTCAACGTTCCTGGGGAACGCCCATTGTATGCGAAGGAGCCTCCACGATCACCCAGCCCTGATGCCAAACGTACATTCCTTGTATGCCCTACATTCCCAACTAGCCCAAAATCCCCATAACTTCAAACGATTATAACTTCTTCGTTCCAACTCTGTTTTCAGCTATCCTTACATCCACGGAAAGTTGTTGAGGAGTTCTATAGACCTATCTATTTACTTTTAACTTAAAACACATCGAACTAAAATCCTTAAATTCAATAAAAGGTTCGAACCATCACTTTACCAATATACCCTTGTGCTCCAAAGCACAAACCGAACTTTTGGATCAAAAAATCTACATCACCCACATCCAAATGGGTCTAAACCTCATTTTCCTTAACGCCCAAAACATTATGGTAATTTATCTTCGTGTTACGACCCCGAATTATTAAACGACTCGAAACAGTATGTTACAGTCGGGGGTTAGTTCTTCTTTCCCCAGGTTTCTCTAGCGTCTTGCAATTTTTTTATTAGGGTATCTTTTTTGATTTTCAAAAATAAAAATATAAAATCTATGGTTATTTTATCACTTAAAATTATCGTCAACTCATTATTTCACTAACTTATACTTTAACTAAATAATTTTCGTAATGATTATTATATATATATATATATATATATATATATATATATATATATATATATATATAATATTTAACCATTTGATTTAGTCTCATCTAAAATGTTGTATATAATCTTCTCTATGTAATTAGTCATATTTTAAACAAATATTATATTTTGATAAATATTATCACCTAACATTCATATTTAAATAAATAAAAAGATTAAAGTACATTGTTTCAAAAGGACAATATATTAACGTGATAATTATAAAATAAAAAATATTAATATTGTTATAAAAAGTTATATATTATAAATGAAATCTTATTACATATTTAACAATATATAGTTAGTAAAAAAACGTAATATTTAAAACTAAATATAACTAAGAGTAAAATGAGATATGATTAAAGGATGACCTGTTACATGTAGGGGGTGAAAAAACCGAACCACAAAACAAAAAAATTGAAATCCAAAACGATGGTATGGGTTTGTGTTTTTTTTTAAACCGAAATGTTTGGTTCGGTTTTGGTTTTACAAAATATAAAAAATCAAGAAAAACTGAAACCACACCGATTTAATGGAACGTTAAAGAAATTATATTTACGTACATATATTAATTATAAACTTATTATGTGTAAAGCACTAGTCTAGTACAAAACTTAGTGTTGATAATGTACCTCATCATTCCCCCATATGCATTAATAGAATACAAAAGCTATGTGAATGTGCTTGCTGGAAGTGATATCTTTTGAGTTCAGTGATTTATAATTTCGTCAACATGACGTATAGTTTAAGTTGCATAGTGATCATCATGTTCATAATAAATTACATGAAAAAAATAAAAATCTCGGCATTATTTTAACATAAAATCATTTCACAGAACCCAAACCTTTTGATGTCGTTGTAAGTAAGTCACACTGTTTTTCATCGGTAGATGTTCAACATGCCGAAAAAATATAATCGTTCCAATGTATTGGACACAAGAAAAAATCATCTCAGCATGATTTTAACATAAAATCATTTCATAGAAGCATCATAGTTTCATTTTGATCGTAAATCAAAAAACATAGCTTTTGTATATCAGTAAGTATTCCCACATCGGTTCATAAGAGGTTCTGAGATTGCATTATAATGCTACCTTGTATGGAAGGATGTATTTTATTTGTATTAGTTGTTATTTGTCGTTATCGCTAGGTTATACGTCATATGTTACTAGGTATAGTGTGACATCTAGATTATGATGTAAAGTTTGTAAGATGTGAGATAAAATGTGTAACCCTCTATAGTCTAGGGGGCTATATTGTAAATATGTTTGTCGTATGGCAATTCAATTATGTAATCAGCTCTCTTGAGCCTATAAATAGGGTCTTTGCCCATATGTAATATACAAGAGAAGTTTGAGAGTTTTAAGACTTGCCCATATGTAATATACAAGAGAAGTTTGAGAGTTTTAAGACTTGAGTTGATCTCAACGTTCTTCCCCTGTTGAAATAGTTTGTCTATTTCTGAATAGCAGAGCCCTTTATTGAAATAGTTTATCTATTTCTGAATAGCAGAGCCGTCTATCCAAACTATCCAAAACCATCCATCTAATAATCATCAAAAGATCATCCCGACGCATCATTCAGGTACAATCATATCCCAATTTTTATTAATCTCGTCATGTCGTTAATTTTGGTATCAGAGCAAATCATAAGGAAAAATTTTGTATCAGAGCGACGTACTAACTTTTTCAATTTGGTATCAGAGTTAAGTTTCGTTCTTATCATTATATATATATATATATATATATATATATATATATATATATATTAAAGTTGTGAGGAAAAAAAACACTAAACCTGAGATATTTTTGTCAGTTTTGGTCCCTTAAATTACATTTCCGGTTATTTTTGTTTGTGTGTCAATTTGTTAATTTAACACTAAACAACCCTGTTTTTTTTTTTTTTTTTTTTTTTTTTTCTAATTTGGACCTCCAACTTATGTTGCTTGCTTCTGTCATTCAAGGTCCCTACGTTTTACTGTATTTGTCACATTTTGCTGTATTTGTGGACCAGGGTACCGTACCAGGGATGGTTACTTCACCTGACTTTGGTTCGTCTGATTTATCCACCGCCTCAAATCTTCCCGATCCTTCCATCGTCCTTCTGCTTCTTTATCGGGGTTAACTCAACTGTCCACCACCTCAGATGAAGACCTCGAAGCTTCGTATGCCCTCTATTCCCTCCACCATCGGCGATTAAAGGGTTTGATTGGGGTAAGTGCTACCTCTGACGGTCTCCGATTTATTATCTGCTTCCGCCTCCAGCGACACTGGCTTCGCCACAGCGTCCGCCATCAATACTGTTCCCACCTGACTCCTCCAACTGGTGCTCCCATTCATCGACCCCACTTTCTCATCGCCGATTGTGGGTGCAGCGCTGGAGACAGTAATAGCTTCTATTCGTCACTATTTTTACTTTTGTTTCTCTTAGGGCTCGAATACTTCCCCAACCTTACTACAGCCACTGGAGTTGTGAATTGTGACCGGTGTTGTGAATTGTGAATCTCAACTCTGTTTTGTTTCATGTTTTCAGGTTTGGTTTGTACTGAAACTTTTGTTTGAGATTTCTCAACGATTGGTCTCATACTGCAATCAGGAGACACACCCACAGGCATATTCCACCATAGTTAAGAAGCAGCGCTGTTAGTGCCGATGGTGCTGTGATTTTCCAATTAACAGCCCTAAAACTTCTTATTTTATGCCATATATCAACCTTGAAGGTAAATCTTTGATTTTTATGTTGCATTTATGAATTACACTACATGCTTATTTCAAAATTTCTGCAAAAGTAGCCCAAGATGATTTCTATAGGTGTTAAACATTGCTGGTATCAAAATATGTAAGAAGATCCATGGATACTTGCTTCAAAGCAACTGTTATCTACAGAAAAATCAAAGGTTGGTGGGTCTCATAAGAAAGTAAGTTATCATCAATTTTTGTGTTTATAATTTTATTAGAGTTACATTACCCATCTCACCTATTCTATTCTCCATACCTTTCATCGATTTCAATTTCCAAAAATCCATTCATTGAGTTTATTCTTTCCTCTATTATCCTATCTTTGACTAGGTTGATTATTGGGGGCATAATGGGTATAATAAATTGCTTCCTGGTATATTATGATTTTGGGCATATTTTTTTTAGTATGAGTTTTGTTATTTTATTAAATGTGTTTGATGTTGATTTCAGTTGAAGCTCCTATTGCAAAGCCTATTGTTATGCTATCAAAGCCTAATTCAGCAAAAGATAGTACATATGCAGGTAAATATGAATACCTCTAAATGAAAATATTTTGTTTATGTTTATGGATTTGTCATAAAATGAAACTGCAGTCAGTTTTTTCTTATTTATTAGATAATATAATTATTAGTGCTGTTATGTTGTTGGTTTCACTTTTAACCTTTTTTTTTCAATGTCTGACATGTAGGTGATGATTATTTGAAAGATCTTCTTGCAAACAAGGTAAAATACCTTTCGTTTATTTGTAATCAAGTCCATTGACTTTGTTACCATTTGATGTCCTTAAGTTGTAAAGTTCCTTTTTCTGATTAACAGATATGTCTTTAAGTTGTAAAGTTCTTTTTTGAGTTTCAGTGTCGTTTTTTTGTCATTAGGATGGACGTAGGGGTAATATTGGAAACCACAACAATAATATCCAACACACTATTGTGTTGTTTCTAATTATGACACAAGTTTGAATTTTTTGTGACAAATGGTTAACTGTGGTGTTTTACATGCATTATGGGTTGTTCATCGCTTCTTGATGAAGTCTTTTACTTAGACGAGCTTCATAAATTGAGAATCAAGAAAGAATTCAATAAGTTTCCATCTTTTAACAAGTTACAGTTTTAATTGCTTTTCAATTCTCATTAATGTTAATTTATTGTATTTCTATTATCATGAGTACATGTTGAACAATGGAGGTGATTTGGGATAAGCCATATAATTTTTTTTTTTTTTTTGGTGTCGTTTTTGACCAGCTTATAAGAAAAACTAATTGTAGGAGGTAAAATGGTTGAATGAGATAAGTCAAAGTTATATGGTTTATTAAAAAATTTGTTACATCATAAATGTGTTTCAAATATAATAACTTCTATATATTTGTTCAGGCTCCATGAAGAACATTTTCATGATCTATTGGCATTTGGCAGTTGCCTCTAACATAATTACAAATTAGATCATCGAAACGAATAATCATTATGTTGCCTTCTCTTTTTGGAATTATTAATGCTATTTAAGAACAAACAGTTCGTTTGCAGAAACATGTGTTAATAACTAATTAAGTTAAAACAGCTTAGGAACTAAAATAATGAAAAGAGAGATATAATAAGATGCAAGTCACATACAACTGACCCACCTCATAATCATTCATAGATATATTTTTATTTCAATTAGGTAATAGATTTAATTTTTTCCTCAAATTTCTAATTGTTTCAGCATTAGTTTAGTATTCGATTTTGCCTCTTCTTATTGTTTCAAAATACGAAAAACAATATTTTTTTTGTTGTAATTTTCCTTTTTAATAATCATACATACATGTCTTTAATAGGTAATTTAGTAATTATATATTTGGTCCAAATGATGGCATGTTTAATTTGTAGGCCAAATTACATAAAAACCACTTTATTCACCGTATCATTTTAGGCCAACATAGATTGCTCTCTAAAGCTTCATAATCTATAAGAAGATGAAGCCACAACTGCGAGGTAAGGTTCATGTCCACAAATTGTTTATCCCTCAGTCGTTTTTTATTTTTGTTAAATTTTTTTAAGCTTTACAACTTTATATGGATTTTTCATTTTACTTTCGGTTGATTCTATGAACAGCTTCAGTTTATAATTTGTATTTCAGTTTGATGGAATGAATCTTTCATTTGGTTAACTTAGCAGACCATTTATAAAAAAAACAATGTTATATACTTAGGTTAAAAATGGAAGAAATACTTTTTTGTATTTAAATGAGCAATTGTTGCGTATTAACCTCTACTATTATGACATTTTATATGCATCAGTGTATATAAGTCTGGACAAAATGCATTTATGTGGATTAGTTTATTTATTTATAAGTTTGCTCATAAAAAAAACTTGAAACTCAGGAATTGGAGATTCCGACTCCGCTTTTGTTGTTGTTTTGTACTGCTGTTTTTTACCGGAAGCAAAGTGATAGAAAGTGTAATGGACAGGTTTCAAACTGATTTATAAAAACAAGAGTTCCTCTATGGAATCTAAAGGTGGAAGAAAGGAACAAAGTGGTACCCTTTCTGAATCTTTTTTTATATAACTAAAACTTATCTTTATTTGATTCAATATAAAAAAAAGTAAATAGATGCTATTGGCTCTCAGGGATGAAGCGTATATTGATTCAACCATAGGAGATGGAGGGGCAGATTCGGAATCTGAGGACAACAATTCAATCACTTCACATCCACTATCTCTTGCGCTTCTTAAAGATGAAAATGATGGTTTGCTGTATGGTAACATTACATTCCTTTTTTATTTTTTATTAATCGATGATGTAATAATTTCATTTATAATAAATAATTTTTTTAATAAATGATATTACAGCAACAACATTGGACTTCTCCTGCAATGGATACCGAGGGCCATATTGTTTAAATGAGTCTCCATAATAAATTACCCATTGGAATTTGAAGACCTTATAATGGTATTATTGAAACATATAACATTTTACTTTAATTCTAATGTTAGGTGCATGATTTGATCATTCAAGGAAATGAAATTGAAGAAGACAGGTGAGGGATGGGGTAAGTATGAAGATGTTCTTTCTGTATTTATTGTAGATTGCATTGTACTTTCATTTAAAATTACTTGGATATAAGATTGTATTTTCATTGTTTTCGAAAATCTATTCAAATATAGCATTGTACTTTCATTTAAAATTACTTGGATATAAGATTGTATTTTCATCTGATTGATGGAAAATTACACACAATAGCAACATGCTTTAATTTCGTTACCAATTTATGCAATGTACTTCATTATTTGTCTCCCAAAACGAATACATTCCGCCCCGCGCATTGCGCGGGTAACCCTTCTAGTTTTTATTATGATTATAAGTATTCATCCGTTCGTTCATAAGAAAAATATTCATCATGCATCATTATAAATGTTATTACATTCATGCATATCATTTGTCATAACCATCATAAAATTTAATAGTCATAATAAACTCTACTATCACTATCATTTTTAAAACTATAAATTTTAATCGTAACTTTGATCCAAAACACAACTAAATTATTGTTCTTATAAAGTTATAATCATATGAGTTTTTCAAGTCTAGATACTAATAAACAAGAATTAAATTTTTTTCGTAAAACACTAAAACAATCTAAAAATTTCTTTTAAATCTAAAAATAGATTCAGACATATCAAGAATAAATTGCATATCTAATATTAACGCAATACATATAATAGATAATAATATAAATTGGAAACAAGAACAAATAAAAGATCTTGAAGATAAGATAACAAGATTAATTTGTTAAATATGTTTTAAGAAATATAAAAATTACTAATAATAACTACTTTGTTAGTAAAAAGAAACTAAAGATTTCATTTACAAAATAAACACAACTTGTTAATATAAAAACTTTGCAAGAAAAAGTAGAAACATTAATTAATAGAAATTAATAAACTAACTCTAATGAGTAGAAGAAAAACAAATATTAACCCAAACAGTACCTTTATTACAACCAAAATACATGATAAAAAACTAGTTTCGTATATAGATACATGAGCTACTTTATGTTTCGGAAGAAGAAAGATACTAAAAAATTGGGAAAAATTAGAAAAACCATTAAAAATTACAATTGCTGATAAATCAATTCATAGAATTTGGTTCGTAGGAAGAGACATAGATATAGTAATTGAAAAAGCACCATTTAAAACTCCAACTATATATCAATATGATTCGGGAATAGATTTAGTAATAGGAAATAATTTCCTCAGATTATATCAACCATTTATACAAACAAATGATCATATAAGTCTCAATCACCCGACAAAAGGTATTATAAAAACTGCAATTATCAAACATTTTGATCTTATTAAGATAATCAAACAAGAAGTTGGTTTTCAACTACACATATTACTAACGTTTGCTAAAGAAATTGCTGAAAAACAACTTGAAGAAGTATGTAGTGAAAACCCGCTAGATCATTTAAAAAATAGAAATAATCAAGAAATAATAATATTATTAAAAAACCCTAATGATGAAGTTAATGTTCCAAATAAAAATTCCATATAGTATAAAAGATGTTTCTGAATTTAAACAGGAATGCACTGAACTATTAGAAAATGAATCATTCGACCTAGCACGAGTCCTCATTCTGCATCTGCATTCTATGTAGAAAATAATAATGAAATAAAACGAGGGAAACGAAGAATGATAATTAATTATAAAAAGATGAACGATGCTACTTTAGGAGATTCATATAAATTACCACGAAAAGAATATATTTTAGAAAAAATAAAAGGAATACACATTTTAGTACATTTGATGCAAAATCCGGATATTGGCAATTCCGCTTACATGAAAATACGAAACCACTAACTGCTTTTTCATGTCCTCCTCAAAAACATTATGAATGGAATGTCCTTCCATTCGGTTTAAAGCAGGCACTAGCAATATATCAACGATTCATAGATGAAACCTTAAATGGTTTAGAACATATTTGTCTTGCATACATTGACGATATAATTGTTTTTACAAAAGGAAATGAACAAACACATATCGATGCAGTTATCAAAGTTTTAAAAAGAATAAAAGAAAAAGGTTTAGTTTTATCAAAAAAGAAATCGAAACTTTTTCAATCTATAGTTGAATATCTTGGTTTAAAAATTGGAGAAAATGGTCAACTATCTTTAACAGACAACATACGAGAAAAATTATGTATGTTTCTTGATAAACTCGAAAATAGAAAACAAATACAATGATTTCTTGGTTGTTTAAATTATATTGCAAAACAAGGATTTTTGAAAAATTTAGCAAAAGAAAAAAAATTTACAAAAGAAAATATCAGAAAAAATACCTTGGTCTTGGACCAATACAGATACTGTTTTGGTGCAAAATATAAAACAAAAAATTCAAATTATCCCTACTTTATATAATGCCAAAATCGACGATTTTCTAATTGTGGAGACAGATGCATCACAAGACACTTGGGCAGGATGCCTAAAAACAATTATACATGGAAACGTATTATTAGGACTAGATAATGAGGGCAATCTCATATCTGACCCATCAAAAGTATACAATGATAAAGCATACATTGGTATGAAAATACCATCTGAAGTAAACAATGATAAAGTATACAATGATATGAAGATATCACCAAAAACATAGATTGATACGAATGAATCATCTGAAGTATTAAACACACATAAATATGAGAAAAAATTATGCAAGTATATATCGGGAACATTTTCCCAAACGGAGCAAAATTATAGCACACATGAACGAGAAACACTAGCTTGTCTAAGAACATTGAAGATATGGAAGGTCGAACTTCTACAAACAAGATTCGAGTTACGAACAGATTCCAAGTATCTACTTGGATTTTGGCGCTATAAATTACAAGAAGATTATTGTCGTGGACGATTGATTCGTTGGAAATTACAATTACATCAATTTCATCCCTATCTCAGATACATCAAAAACGCAAACAATCATATAGCAGACACATTGACGAGAGAATGGAAGCCATTATGAAGCAACAACAACAACAGTTCAAACAAGCATCCATTCATGAAAGAAACATCGTGAACACCAATCATGAAAGATTAACGTCAGCCATGACATAAGCAAACATTATTCAAAAATATCTGTCCTTTCGGTGGCCGGAGGAATGACGCACGCAATGACGTATAAAGTCATTATTATTGAAGACACATGTCCTTTCGTTGTGGAAGGATGTATTTTATAATTTGTATTTTATTTGTATTAGTTGTTATTTGTCGTTATCGCTAGGTAATACGTCATATGTCACTAGGTATAGTGTGACATCTAGATTATGATGTAAAGTTTGTAAGATGTGAGATAAAGTGTGTAACCCTCTATAGTCTAGGGGGCTATATTGTAATATGTTTGTCGTGTTCCAATCATACGATTGCAATTCAATTATGTAATTGGCTCTCTTGAGCCTATAAATAGTGCCTTTGCCCATATGGAATACACAAGATACGTTTGAGAGTTTTAAGACTTCAGTTGATCTCAACGTTCTTCCTCTGTTGATATAGTTCGTCTATTTCTGAATAGCAGAGCCCTCTGTTGAAATAGTTTATCTATTTCTGAATAGCAGAGCCTTCTATCCAAACTATCCAAAACCATCCATCTAATCATCATCAAAAGATCATCCCGACGCATCATTCTGGTACAATCCTATCCTAATTTTTATTAATCCCGTCATGTCGTTAATTTTGGTATCAGAGGAAATCATAAGGAAAAATTTGGTATCAGAGCAAATATAAGGATAAAATTTCAACAGATGGCTCTGCTATTCAGAAATAGACGAACTATTTCAACAGAGGAAGAACGTTGAGATCAACTCAAGTCTTAAAACTCTCAAACTTATCTTGTTTATTCCATATGGGCAAAGGCCCTATTTATAAGATTAAGAGAGCCGATTACATAATTGAATTGCAGTCGTACGATTGCAATACGACAAACATATTTACAATATAGCCCCTAGACTATGGAGGGTTACACACTTTATCTCACATCTTACAAACATATATTTACAATATAGCCCCCTAGACTATGAAGGGTTACACACTTTATCTCACATCTTACAAACTTTACATCATAATCTAGATGTCACACTATACCTAGTGACATATGACGTATAACCTAACGATAACGACAAATAACAACTAATACAAATAAAATACAAATTATAAAATACATCTGGTCCGACTGAGAAGGAGGACAGCTTCACAGAGCTCTGCGAGAACTCCTCTCTCCAGACAGTTGAAGGTTAACATGCCTCGGCTCTTCAGGCCGTATTGCCGACTGGTTCAGTTCGGTGGGTCTGCTGTTGCATTATCCGACTGAGAAGGAGGATGGCTTAACAGTTCTCTACGAGAACTCCTCTCTACACCCATTTTTGCCATAATGGGGATATCTTGGAACGAAGGAATGTGTTTACCACTTTACCGTTTACTGCATTTTGACCAAGTCAGATTAAAACTTTGCTAGCTGAAGAGAAACTCAAGCAGATACCCCACCCAATATGGCGCGTACATGTGAGGTAAAAGTGAAACCCACGTGGGTGCATGGATGGAATGTAAGTTAGATTTTTCCACATAGGTTTTTTATCCACTGAAAAATAATTTATGGTCGATTATATCTTCATTTAACTTATGGTAAGTATGCAGAAATCTGTAAATACCAGACAATTGTTTTCTCACTCAAAAGTACGAACCCACCGCCGGCCACTCTCTTTCCTGATCTCCATCTAGGACAATCTCTCTCTCTCTCTCTCTCTCTCTCTCTCTCTCTCTCTCTCTCTCTCTCTCTCTCTCTCTCTCTCTCTCAATTGGCGACGACCCTCTCCAAATAACCTCCAACTCGCCGAAACTCCGCCAAAGGAACCTACAAACGACTCTATCTAGCGAACTTGCAACTCACTGAAATGATCGCCATGCTCATTGAATGATCTATATTAGGCTCCACCGTTAATGTAAAAACATCGTTTCCAAGATCAACTCTGACAACGATTTTATTTTGTTTAATTTATGCAAGCATGTACCATCAACGTTTATAATCTGGTGATCTCTATGAGAAATTAATAAATACCAAGAAATTAAATCGAAAGCAGAAACAGTTCTCTCGAAGAAGCAATTAAAGCTCTTGAAGACGTGTGGTCGGCTGAAGAATAGCGTTGTGGGTCGTGCGTCATTTGGAGTTTCG